GTTGAATGCACCTCCTTTCTATTTTAAAATGTTATGATACAATAACGAGAAATTGCTAATATTTTAAATCAGGGACTTTATTATAATAAAAAAAGTGTATCAAGACTTCTATGATTACTGCTCATTTTAGAAATAGGAAATTAAACTTAATATCCTGTTGATAAAAAACTATTAAACAAATAAAATCGGATTACAATAAAACAATACTGAATTTAAGCGAATTCATCGCCTGTAAAATAAGTAAACATTTCTCACGCGTATCCATCATGAGGAAGCAACAAGTTAAACAGTGACTGATGCGATACCATTACTTGCAAAAGGTGAAACCTTAGTTGCCGCGAGTAAAATATTCAGCCTTCTTTATACCGGCTCTATTATATAAAACAGCGAGGTGCTTTAATCCCGTAAAATGGAGATTTGTTGCCTGCGGCTCTCCCTCCATACTTCTTTCTTTATGTTAGTTACCCTCTAGAAAAATTTATTCAGTTCCCTTAAAAATAATTTAAGAGTGAATTGTGTTGGAAAATGTATCGTACTTGTATTGTAACAATCATATCCATGTTTAAAAGAAAGACAAAGTGTATTAAAATAGATTATTTGCTTTCCCTTCCACGGACAAAACTGTCAACATTAAGATCAATGGTAGTTTGTAGATTGTATGTACAGTCGGGGACGCTGGCGGTGTTCCAACTTAAAAGCTACAATCGTTTGAACGTTTTGAAATGAGTCGCGGAACAAAAATCAATACAACGCAGCTTTTACAGATAACACGGTTAGTTTTTATTATTATTATCCCTTCGTTTGAACTGCTATCTAATTAGTACGAGGCGGAGTTTGTCTCGTTGTAATAAGGCAATTTTTCCTGAAGTGCAACACCGCGGCTTTCAGCGACTGTACATATCGTTTACTCTGCATCTTCACGTTATTGAGAACCTTGTTTTAATATTATTACCTTGTAAGATGTACTATAATGCACACAATTATCTTTGTAAAGCATTTTAGATACGCTCAGTTCTAACTGTGAGTATTAAATGTTATAACTGTACAGTCAAACTGTACAGTTCAGTTGATAGTTAACATTTTGTGTACATACGCACAGTTGACTGAAAATTTACCGTCTGTAGCGGGCTTGATAAAAATAGCTTGTGAAAAATCCGGTTCCAAATATCTTGAAAAACATTTTTTTCATTTAAATATGTACTCGATTTATGTCAAATATTTAGAGAAGGTTATTAAAGAGTGTTTTACTGAATAGCTTCTTAAAGGTTGGATAAAGTTTAATCTTGGACGGAAGGCAATAAAATAAGGGCGAGAATTTCGTGAGAAGTCGGCACCAAACCTGCCAACACCAGACAGCTATTGATAGGGTTGGCAAAATATTATTCGCATTGAGTTGTGAAATTCAATAAAGATCGTGAAAAATATTCATCAATCAATTTAAATGTTTGATTTTGTTTTGCCAAGATATTACGAAAACACTTTACTTGGATATTTTTCTTTGCGATTTTGGAATAGGGTTGAGAAAAAATTGTTTAATGGTAAGTCATTCCGAATGCATTTCATTTTACTCGAAAAGTATTTGTCAATGATTTCAAAATGCTAAAAAAGAAGACTTGCATTATTATTTTAAAGCCGTTCGTGTATGACAGGCCTTATATTATACAAACAAAGGTTGGCATTATTATCCATCTAAAAGTAAATATGCAATGTACAAAAATACTGAGATAATAATGTGACAAACAAAACCAGGAAAATGTTAAAAGAACCAAATTATCATACAAGTACAGGCTTGTTTGCTTTTGTTTAAAAATATCAATGCTGAAGAATTCCACCATATTTTATATACTAAAAAAATGTATATGAAAACAGTTTTAGCCCCTTCAAATGATATACGCAGCCCGTTATTCTCTGTCATAAATTTGAATGGAATCGATTGCTGTCTGCGCCTCCGGGAAAGTTAGATTTCCCTCAGGATTTCCACGACACCTGACCGGATGTAAAATATATTCTCGATTTTTTCGCTCCCATACCTATTTTACTACCAGTTACTGTTAAAGTTGAATTCAGTGCAGCTTGATATTTTTCTTTTTTATCACATTTTGTCCGAGACTTCGTCTGCGTGGAATTTAAAAAAAAACAAAAGTGAGTAGCCTATATGTTCTTCCAGACGGAGATAGTCTGACATCTATGCCAAATTTCATCGAGAGCCGGTCCGCCATTTAGGCTATAAACTCTAACAAACATCCATCCATCTAAACTTTCGCATCTATAATATTAGTAAGACATCTACAATAATACAAGATGTAGTATTTTGTTTCATATAGCTGTGGGCTAACAAGGACGCCAGAAACACGCATTATTATTGAATAGCTTTAAATAAATTGTATGTTTTTGATATTGTATTAGTTATTATATGAAATAAACTTAATAATAGTATTTTATATCAACTATTAAATAGGAGCAATGCTAATGGTAACATTAATTTTCATAACTCTGCCATATCTCTCCGTGATAATGTCCGTTATTGTTCTGAATTTACCATAGAAGAATTTGTCAAGCATTAGAGAATGTATAAGTCCATCGAAATTCTGAATTGTGAAATTGTATACACCCTGAAATATGAAAAAAATTAAACTATTAACTCTTTCTATACAATGTTCACTAAATTTTCTTTGTATAAAACGTAATTGGATAATTTATATGTATACGTACATGCATTACTTTGCAATCTCTCCCTAAACCTTTGATCATGGCAAGAATTTCCTTTGCAAACTGTTTCTCGCAAACGTTCTTCATAACAATGTTGATGGCTCGAGAGAACTTCTTCACGGATTCATCCCAGGCGAACCAGCGTATTTTTACCTTTAAAAGTGCTGAGTTAACTAGCTAACCTAATATTTGTAATGTTTTATTTTTGTCAAACAGAACATCAGGGATGCAAAACAGATAGAAATGTCTCCTTCGTGTACCTTTATGATTCCTTTTTATGTCGGTACAAGTCGTGTTTAGTTATATTAGAGAAATAAGTTTTTTTCACTTTCGTTACTTGCAAAACTATTTCAAAAGGTTCTTAATATGAATAATCTTACTTCTTACTTAATGTTATAAATGCGAAAGTTTAGATGGATAAATATTTGTTAGAGTTTGTAGTCTAAGCGGCTATACGGATCTCTGTGAAATTTGGCATCGAACCTCTACATCTATGTATGTATATTGTGTGGAGGAACTCATAAGCTACTCACTTTTGTTTTTATTTTATTCCACGCAGACGGGGTCGCGGGCGAATGCTAGTTATTAGATAATATTATAGTCAATCAAAAAGTTTTAATTGTGTTGTTGATCTTACCCCAAAAAAACCTAGATCTTTGGTTATAACAGCGCCAAAGGCCAACGTGGATGTTCCATTGTCGAAATATATTTGCTCTGCACCAATTTTCGCAAACGGTTTAAAGTTTTGAATGGCGTATGATATGATGTTTACTACATATTTACCCTGTAAATTAATTTGAATTCATATAAAAGAAAGACATAACAAATAACTTAATTACACTATTATACATCGTTCAATAATTAGTAACAGGTAAAGCTTCACTAATCAAGATTTTTCATTACATTAATTGCGAATAAAATATAAATGGAAATGACATCCCGTCTTAAGAAATGGTTATTTTTAAATACTAACATAGTTCTTCTCCAATAAAACACCGGCCGTTGTCACCAATATTGCACATAAAAATGTATAACGACATAACATCTTACGCTGTTTATACTCCGATTGTTACAGTACCATTTCAAATTTATAATTTCACTAGCTTTCGCCGGCGATTCCGTCCGCGTGGAATTAAAACAAAACAAAAACAAGTAGCCTACGTGTTCTACTACACTACCCTCTACGTATATGCCTAATTTCATCAAGACTCGTTTAACAGTTCGGGCTACAAGCGCTAACAAACATCCATCTAAACATTCGCATTTATAATATTAGTATGATTTAAACGGAAGTACATCGTTATAAATATGTATCATGCAATCATAATGACATTGAATAGAAAAATACTTTAGGATATATAATTAAACAAATCTTCCAATAGAATGTTGGTAAATAATTCAATACAAATCAACTGCTCATTTTAAAAGCAAAACTTACTACTTTATCACCATCATCATCAGCTCACTGTTCCCTCGGAGGGGCTGGGGTACTTCCAGGTGGGGTGACTATACTATTTATGTCAAAGTTAACCGTGCTGGCTCACTGCGGAATGGTTGACTTTACACATATCTTTGAATTTCTTCTCAGATATGTTCAGGTTGCATCACGATGTTTACCTTCACCGTAACAACGTCGGATTAACTACCTAACTAATAAAATGTTAGTACTTAAGGCATATATATTATAAATATCTTTTTCTGTAATACTTCATTGTTTTATAGTAGTCTTTCTAACATGTATTTATCTGTTTTATATAGAAATAAAACTAATGTTTCCTATACTTACTCCATACATGAACCACGAGTAAAACCATTTATTGATTGTTAACGAGAGTTAATTTCTCTCTCTTTTTGATTTTGCAAGCAATAAATGATTCACCAATAAAGGTTTGGGTTGAAAAACATTAAAATCACTTTTATAAATTCCATGAATAATATTGAGTGCTGTGGCAATATCTGATTTTTTTTGAATTGGTATTGTAATATGAGTTTTTGAGCGGGCAAACCCGAATAAATGACATGGCGGCGATCAATCCGGGTAGAGAGTGTTGTGCAGTTTTCACTAAAGATTGAAGAGCGGTGTTTATGATATTACGCGATTCTTATTTTATTATCTCCGACATACGCACGCCCACAATGGAGGATAGTTACCGTGTAGTGATCACTGGATTTAATTCTACAAACAGCTCGTTATTCCGACAAACTTTATTTTTCTTATCCCAACAAATATTTATATTGTCATTGGGATGCGATATTGGTTTGAATAAGAGAAAGAAAACATAAAAACAAGGTTTATTATTCTTAAACATATTTATTATACAATTGATTTGGGATCATTGTCACATTTAAAATTAAATAGGATCAACGCTAAGTGTAAGATTCACTTTCATAACTCTGCCGAACTTCTCCGTAAAAACGTCTGTGATTGTCCTGTACTTGCCGTAGAAGAATTTATCACGCATTACTATATGCATTAGTACATTCAAATCAATAACTGATATATTGTAAACTCCCTGAAAAAGTAAAAATATTGACATAGAAATAACCCAAATCAGTATCCTTTTATAATACCAGTTGCGAAATATTACTATTCTATCTTGTTACACATTACAGTATAGAGCCTTTGTGTGAAGAATTAACGCAATCATTTAAAACCATGACTTTTATGATATCTTAAAGTTGCAATTTTGACCTAAATATTTGACGTGTACGTCAGACAGTGATGATAAATAAATGAGTATTATGTCAGTCGCCTTACGTGTTTGACTTTGCAATCTCTACCCAAACCTTCAACCATGGCCAGAACCTCTTTCGCAAGCTGTTTCTCGCAAATGTTTCTCATAACAAGATTGATGGCCTGAGAGTATTTCTTTAACGTCTCATTCCAAGAAAACCAACGAATTTTTACCTGAAATTATAAGACGGTTTAAAATGCATTTTATATACAGAATGTATTATGAATGTTGGTTTACATGCATTTAATTGCAATCTAGTGAAATATACGAATCGAAATCGCCCCACTCTTTAGAATTTACCAGAGTTCAGGCTACATTAGCTACAATAGGGTGATGTTTTTCACATATGTCTAACTTTTGCATAGGTGAGCTAGAATGCACTAAGGTAACACGATAAGCCGGTAATCGTGCCACGCGACTGATCCGAATGTTCGCCGGAATACGACAGACTCCATCCGCCACGTGAAGCAGGACAACCACCACGCGTAGTCAATAAACCGTCCGTAGTCTATACACTACATATAGTCAAAACATCACCCTACTAACAGACATATAACGATTATTGTTTTTATTATACGTACACCAAATACACCAAGATCCTTCAACACGACAGCATGGAATATCATAGTAGACGATCCATTTTGTAACACTTCATGATCGACGGCTACTTTTACGAATGGTTTGTAGTTTTGAACCGCGTATGTTATTACTTTGACCACGTATTTACCCTGAAAATAGTCAAGAAATAAGTATACTGTTTTCATCTATTGTTAAAATCATTTATTTCGATCAAAATGCAACAAGGAGTCAACTTTTCACCAATGAAGTTTTAGATAAACATACCTTCATCGAAAATTAAATCGCTCTATTTCAATTTATTCGTGTCCATTACTTTAATTTTAGAAATCTTATAATACGGAAATGGTTTTTATAGTATCAGTAAGTAAAGAAATCGTATAAAGCAGACGAAATTCCTACATACAAGATAAAATGTGATATTTATCCAATACTAACATAGTTTCCTTCTAAAAATACTGCGGCCGATGTCACTAGCAGGGCGCACACGAAAATATAACGACATAACATGTTTCGTTTTACGATGTTTGGATTGTGATTGCCATTGGATAATTTAAAATTCATAAATTTATATGAACGGAAGTACAGTCAGCTGCAAAAATAAGTGTATATTTATTAAGCTACAGAAACTTGCCTACGATTTCTATATCATAAACATTCATGCGTATGTCTGTCCTTATGATTTCGACATTAAATATATGTTATTGAAGAATAAGTGCATACATATTCTAAACAACGAAAGCTTTTACAAGTTTCTACAGAGTTGTAAATGTATACATTTTTATGCAGGTGACTGTACATCGTTACAATATGAATCAAGACTAATAATAGTCCATACAGGAAACGCCAGTGTTAATGATGATGGAGATTTAGACGATTACCATGAAAGATAGCAATGTTCTAAATCAAGTTATTACATTATTTAAAAACTAGCTATCGCCGGCGACTTTGCGTGGTATTAAAACAAAACAAAATCAAGTAGCCTATGTGTTCTTCTACATTGCCCTCTACGACTATGCCAAATTTCATCAAGATCCTTTTAGCAGTTGAGGCTGCAAACGCTCACAAACATCCATCTAAACATTCGCATTTATAATAATTAGTATGAAATAATTATACGTATTATTTAAATACAGAAGAAAGTAATGAACACCAAAGAACCATTTGAAATACAGTTTTAGTACAAGAACTCGGTTCTACATTGATCATAATCAAAACCTTTTTCTTTGTCAAATTGCGCATTTATTTATAAAAAATTTAACACGAAATCCGCCTTCCAAAATTTTTAGAAGCATTACCATAATTTTACAACAAACTAAATTAATAAAAAATACGACAAGACCGTGTTTTCCCCTAACAAAGCAGAGAGAATTAGTATCTTTTTTGTGTCTGGAAGTAAGGTTGATATTAATAAAGTCGTCGAGACAGAAATACTCTGTAGATGGTACTCCTGCGGTTGAACACACGGAATCCCTAATAAGAGAGGCTTATGGCGAATAACATCTGGGCCCGAGGACGGCAAACACTTGCTGTAAACACGAGGTTACAGTAAGAAAAATGTTTTTGTTCCCCGAAGCTTTCCTTATATTTTGTCATATCTCGTGTTTTGTGTACATTGCCCCGGGGAGATGCAGGATCTTGTTTATTTATCTAACTAGCGTTTACTTTGTGTAATACAAAATCTTTTTGAGAGTGACGTTGTTCGTGAAAGTTTAATCTTTAGACAGGTTGTTGGCCGATTATAAATAAATTAAAATGCCGTCTATTTCAGTTGTTTCGAAGAAAATAAATCATTAATGTCGTAAATTCTGACCATCAGACATTTCTTTTTTACAGTTGTCTAAGGATTATTAAATGTATCAGTAAAAACCCTTAAAATTGTAAAAATCCAGATCATAAAGGTGATTACAAATAGATGTCTTATCTACAAAGTTATCTACCGAGGGAAGGATATTTATTATATTTTTGCACCCGCTCTATTGTCAATTCTGGCCACGTCTTGTCTGGGGCGTCTAATTCTGCTCCTAATTTTGTACCTTATCGACACCCCGTATACGAGAGTTAATATTGCGAGAGAATTCTTAGAATTCCGCACTAAAATGTGTTAAATGTTAGGATATCCTTGTTAATTAGTTCTTAAATTCCGTCAGAACACATTTTTATCAAAAAGGAGCGTAAATATTCTAAAACTCTACAAACATTAACTAAAACACACAATGAACTGTGTAGACGTAAAGATTGAGGCTATGATCGAGATATATGATGTGGTTTACGAAAAAAATACAATTGGTATGCTAGAGAACGCGGACTATTCTCGACATGCGCGAAATGAAGTCGGTAAAATATCTTAGACATTTGTCAGTCGATTACCTGAGAGGGAGCCTCCCTCTATAATATTACAAAATTCAACGTCCCCTATAACGTCTTACTACGCTTATGAATATAAATTCTCATACCAATCTCTTTTTAGAGGTACGTGTAGCGGTAATAGACAATACACCTTACCCCTCGCCGCTTTGTTTGTTCCATTATTTTGATAAGTTCTTTTGATTTACGTTTTGTTATCCCTATACTTATAAAATTGGGAGGCCTATCGATTATTCTTCATCACTTAGAACCAACGCAAACAAGTTTATTTTTGTCTTGCAATGTCTTGCTGAAAGAGGTTCAAATCAAAAGCAATCAGTGCTAGATCAAATATAACCTCGATAGGTATTTTTATATCAATTTGCACTTTTAAATTATAGCTGCAAATAAAATGACTAAAATTGTATGCCACTATTTATAATACTACGCTTATGGTTTACGATGACTGGGGTATTCTTATTTAGAACGCTATATTCAACTGAAAATCCAAAATCTCCCAATACATTTCGGTTTTCTTATTACGTCAGTGATTTCATTTTTTTTATCTTCTAGTCTCTTTGTTTCATATACCAGTGGCTATATAAAAGAAGTTCGCACATAAATCTCCATCCATTAATACTTAATTAGCGTGTTAATTAAGGCGAGTCAAATTTTTCGCAATTATACTGTTCGTTGAATTGAAATGGTTTCATTATGCAAATTATAATCAACTGTTAAAAGGATTGCAACGTTCTGGGCTCGTATAATTTTGCGTGCGAAATTCTGCGGAATTTTTATGTAATTGTAAAGACATTAGGTGGTTTAGCGACAGATTTGAATAAGTTCTATTTGATAGTCGTTTCTGAGGAAGTTGAGTGAAGAATTTTAATAGGAAAGAAATTGTTAGGAGACTCGAGGATCGCGTTAGCGTTCTTGGGGAACAATGCTCGTTATATTGTAACCCCTCTTGTCTACGTTTATAGAGCGGCAATTGAAGACCGTTTTCATACTCGGTCTTGTATTTTCAATAATGGTGCATAATGCGAATTGTATATATTATTCAAATTTTTCTATCGGGAACACCAGTATCTATTCTGAAAGTGTAGTTGGCAGTAGAGGGGAATTGAGAGTCATAAATATTGGAATAAAGCTAAATCTAATAGAGTTCAATTTACATATGGTTTAAAGAAAGATTCTGATAGATAATTAATTAAATTATACTACTTCTCGTTAGATAAATATCTCATATAAACAGTAACAAGACGCCTTTAAATGAAACAAACAAATTAGTATTATTTATTCGGGTCTAAACTTATTTATGAATATTTACGTCGAAATTGTACATAACATCTGACATAAGTAATGTAATTTATATTAAGGTAAATTCTGTTGGATTTAGTTTAGGTGGATTATACGAGATCCTTCCATCTAAAATAATCCACGGGGATTAGTCGTGTAGAGCTCAGCGATATAATAGTTAGCGGTTGACGCATCCGGCCGCTCTGCCGCTTACAAGGCTCATAGCCTAAAATTTCTGACGCACAAAGGATGTGGATAACCCTTGCGGAACACAGATCCCAATATTGAAGTACCTTTAACAATATTCTGTGGTATTTTGCAGAATTTAATATAATATTCTCTTATTCAGTTTAAACATTCTATGACAGTATCTACATCAGTCAATTATGAAAAAGTTTTGTAAATAAAGTACCGGTGATTTTAGGAAAAGGCATAGTAGTAGACAGTGGTTTTGAAAAAAATGTAAATTTTTGCATATAACCGAACGTTTCCGGTAGTAGTTAGTATTCATTTATTTCCTAAAACATTATTGGTAATGACTAAATAGATCTAAATGGGATTATAAATACCTAGACTTTTGTTAAGTACCTACTATGAGTTTATTGCATTGCAAAATAGTTTTTAATTTTAATGTCAAATAATACTTTAAATAAAGATACGTCATAGTATTTCTTGGAAATATTAAGCGGTATAAAGGGCCTTACGCCTCGCGTCTTTTGAGCAAGAGAATGTTTCACTAAATTGACGTTGAACACGGGATCATGCGTTCTTTTGATATGGTAATCCTGCCTTACCCTTGGGCAATAATCGATTATTAAATAGGCATAAATCGGCATGATCAGTGCGAAACCCTCGAGATCCAGTGTAAGAGTCTTAAGCGGATTCTTTATGAGCGAAAAAGGCCGATTGTAGGTCAAATCCAGGCCTGTTGATCTGCGAATAATTTATTGAGAATGTTTCGAGTGACTAAACTTGTCGAGTATTTTTCTTTGGTCGGAATTTCTTTTGAAAATATGTGCATTAGAAAATATTGAATTATTTTTATACACTTTTATAGTACTTTCGTTTTAGTGTTGTGCTTTCTTGTGTATCCTGATTACATACTACAAATTTTGAATGAAAATTTGATGACAATTCAAACGATGGTTCTTATGCCATAAAAATCTGTTACCAAGTTTCATGAATTTATGAGCTAAAGTAGCAAAAGATTTTAACTAATATAAGGGCTGCAGTAGAAAACAATCAAATTGTTTCTTTTTAATATTCTAAGCGGGTGCATATTCAGCCAAGTGGAGGGGTCAGTGACCACTCGAGACGACGACGTAGCGGATTTTATCTCAAGCCCGCCGTGCCGAATATGACGACTTTTTTACAAAACCTCCAAAAGATGTCTGAAGAGCCCGCTCCGAGGAGAACGCGAACAAAAATGCATTACGCCGCTTCGTCGCAATTACGATATTACTGTTCGCTCCTGTAATTACATCAAATAAAAACAAAAATGCTCTAT